ATTGAGGATCAATCAAGTCTCCACACCATCCTTTCTACCTTGCCATTACCATATTGCTTACGTCTCTGCAAAGCCATACAAGGATCTACTCTATGCAAACTTGTCAGTCCTCAAACACTTGATCTTCTTTTTAGATTCAATTTCTATTTGCATTTTGAATACTTTGAAGACTGGAAACACATCTTCCTTCCTCTTGATAAGATACACCCAACATCTTTTGGAGTAATTATCAATAAAAAATACAAAGTATTTTGCTCCTCCTAGGGACATTACCGGTGCTTGCCAAACATAAGAGTGAATCAATCTTAGAATGACTTTACTTCTAGAATTAGATGTGCTCAACTTTATTCTATGTTGCTTACTTGTGACACAATGCTCACCAAAGGGTTAAGATACATTTGTGAGACCAGGAAGCAACTTCCATGCAGAGAGAATCTTTAAGCCTCGCTCTGATATGTGGTTGAGCTTCTGATGCCATATCATCATTGATTCTTCTCCGAAGTTTGTTAACACAATTAATGCTTCTTCTTCCACCAATGTCTCTCCTTTAAGCATATATAGATTGACTGGGATCTTTTCTTCCTTCATAACCACTAGCGCGCCTTTAACAAGTTTCATGATCCCTCTTTCTATATGGGTTTTGCATCCAAGATCATCTAGATGTCCCAGAGACAACAATTTTTTTTCTTAAGCTTACAACATGTTGTACCTCTTAAATAGTGAAAATTGTACCATCATATATCTTTATCTTGATAGCATCAATAACAACGATTTCCAAGGCATGATCATCACCTATGTGTATAGATCCTCCTAAGATAGGTTTGTATTTGTGAAACCACTCTCTTCGAGAGGTCATGTTGCCACATTATATAGAACTTCACCATCATCTGAGGTGTTTGCTACACATCCTTGAGCATTTGATAACTTGGAATTTCCACTATTCTTTTTACTCCAATAATCCTTTTTGATATGCCCTTTCTTGCCCTGGTTGTAACACTTGACATTTTTCGTGCTTCTTCACTTTGATCTATCATTGTTGTGACTCCCGCTATGGCCACGTTCCATTAATCTCCTTGTTGTCATCGATAAAGCTTCTGCTTGCTATTAACTTATCTGTCTGTCTTCCTTATGCTTTCGCCCACTTTCTTCTTCCAAAATGGCAGCTGCAATATTGTTGAAGACTAGATAGTTTGAAAGGATGTTGTTTTTCAAGTTGATGATGAGTTGATTATACAAGTCAAGTAGACTTTGAAGTAGAAGTTCCACTCATTCAATTGTTTATATTTTATGACCCAACGTTATCAGTTGAGAAAATAGTGTATTTAGGGTGTTAACATGGTCGGTCACCAATGTAGATTCCACCATTTGAAGAGTGTAGAGTCTCCTCTTCAAGAAGATCTTGTTGTGTAGTGACTTGGCCTTATATAGTCTTGTCAAAGTATCTCATATCTCCCTCGCTGTCTTCTTTTCCTCCATACTCCATAACACTTCATCGGCTAGTGCTAAATACATATCGACAATTATGTTGTCGTCCATCTCATTCCATTTGTCATCATTAGTAATCTCTGTGGGCTTCTCTCCAATTGCTGTTAAGCAATTGTCTTTCCTCAAAATTGCTTTCATCCTCATTTTCCACAATGTGAAATTACTTCCATTGAACTTTTCATGTCAAACTTTGCTGCCATGTTGTTGATGACGATCTGCTTCTCAATTGAACCGACTTTCACTTTTTCATCATGAACAATAACCCACAACTAATTGCTCACCCAAAAATTACCAATAGCCCAAGATAGTAGTAAGTGCTAATATGATTCAATATGCACTAGGAAAATTCTCAGCGAACACTAGAGGGGATACAAACGGTCTCATTGATTTTATCTTCAAATGTCAAGCAAAGATCCATTTATTCAAGTTTTTCCAATCCTCTTGCTTGAAATACCAACCACTTGGCAATAATTTCTCCACTTCTTTTTCACCAAAAAGATTGTAAGTTTTCTATTGGATGCACATTCAAGAACCTATTGCAAGTTTATGGATGTTAACTCATCACTGAAAAAATAATCTCAAACTAAACTGAGTTCTTTCAGATAACACTTGGATGAGTCATTGAGCTTAGGGTATCTTTCAATAAAACTTGACCTTAGGTTGGTGGGAAGACCCCCTTTTGGAATACACCCAAGTTTACAATTCCTGATGGTGTAGTCCCTCGGCAACTCTTAGAGATCTACACAATCAAATATTGAGAATGACTTCACATCTAGTGGCAATCCCCCATCCGGGAAGTATTTAAGTTTTGAGCAATGGTGTATCAACAATTTTCAAGATAGATGAAACTATGGAGGGCATTAGGTGCAAATACAAGTTCTAGATAGTCTTTAAGTCCTGAACTTGGAAAAGCATTTGGGAATTTAGTAATTAAACACCCACTAATATGCAAACTTTCTAGACTAGTATTTAAGTGAAATAAACCTACTCATAGCAATTCCAATTTTGGACAGTCTGTGATATTGAGATTCAAAAGATTAAGAGGTAGCTCACCATCTAGAAAGGTCTTGAAAGAAGAGCAATCATCAATCATCAATCATCAATCTGTAGGATTTGAAGAGAAAGGTCCATAATTGTGCATCAAACTAATAGGTACAGACTACAAAGCTTCATATGTCTTGATCTGAAGATGTCTAAGAAGCGATAGGGAATCCATATCTAGAAGGGTAAAAAGACTCCAACAGTGAATGATTCTCAATGTGTAGAGATGTTTGAGGCTAAGCAGTTCGTTGGAAAGCTCCTTTATGTTGTAATAGTAAGATATATATCCAACTCTTGGAGTGAAGTTAATCTATGGAAAACCCCATTTGGGAAATAGTCAAGCTCTAATATTAGGGGTGTTCAAAATTGGATTGGACCAGATATCCAATCCGATTTTCTTGTTTTTTGATCGAATTCGAATTTTCGGATCAAGATAAAAACCGATTTGAATTCGATCCGGTTTGTGACTAATCCAGTTTTGATTTGATCCGAATTTTTGAATCAGATTAAGCAGATATCCGGTTTTTTTTATCTAAATTCATTAACTAATTAACCTAGAATGAACACGCATTATTGTAAAACACTAATTCTTCCAAAAAAAATTCAATCAAAGACTGTTATTAACAATCAAAAGTAAGATTTCCACATATAATAAAAATAAACTGCAAATTAAACTATGATATTAAAAAATGTGATGGATTTCCATACATTAAAGCTAAGTAAAATTTGAGCACACCGAAACAAGATTGAGAGGCGGAGATTGTGTGGAAGAGAAAGTGTGAAAGTCATCGGAGGCTGAACTCGCTGCCGCTGGCTGAGTGTAAATGAAGGAGTAAGAAAGCTGAGAGGGTAGGTGAAAATGGTGTTGAGACTCGAGAGTGAAAACGGTGTTAGGTAAGTAAAATCTTAGTTTTTTTCCTATAAAAATGTTGTCGAGACACCTGCAAGACATTACAGGTAAATTATATTTTTCAGATCCGATTCAAATATCCGACTTTTTAACATTACCGATCTTGTATCCGATTTGAAAATCTGGATTTTTAAATATTGCAATCCGAATCCAATCCGAATTATCAGATATCCGATTTTATGGACTCTCGAATATTCAGTATTTTTTGGATTGGATCAGATCTAGACCGGATATTAGAATTTTTTTGCACACCTCTACCGCGTATTACCTAGGGATTGTGGTGGTAGGTTCCTGTAGTACTCCTCGAGGCTTGAGGATTCGGCAAGGATACCTCAGGAGGGGGCTAATAGCATCACTCTATTATAAAATTAAACAAAATTCAAATCGGATGCCACATAATGTGCAAAACTAATTATCAAGATATTGAAAGTGTGAAAATATATTATTAATATGTTAAAAGTAATTTTATTTTTTTTCCAATCCCAAAGACAAAGTGTTTTAGAAAGAACTCAAAATTCATATATGTAGAAAATATTTGAAGAAAAAGAGAAACCTTTGTTAGTTCCTTTTTAAAAAAAAATTCACACAATCACACTTTTTAGGTTAACCAAAGAAAAAAAAAATCACAAGTTTATCTCAAGAAAGAAACAAAAAATATAATCATGAGATGATTTCCAATTGGCCTAATTTTGATTTATGACAACATCTCATTAGTTGTATAATATTATGGTACAAAGGATAATATTATTCCTTATACTAAGAGTCTGTTTGATTTTGATTTATCTATAGGTCAAAAAAACTAATTTAGAACTATAAATATGTTTGAAAAATTATTTTAGGTTGTATCTCAAAAGTAATTTACATAATTTAAAATAAGTTATTTTATGTCTACATCGTCATTTAATTAAAATCTTTAATTGTAGTTCAACACTAAAAAGTTTCTTTCACGTTTATCTAAACACTTTGATTAGCCTTATTTGAAGAAACGAACCCTAATCATAAGATCACTGGTCTTATAATATGTAATGCTTCAATTAGTGTGTCAGAAATTGAAGGGGCATGTGAAAATATTTCATCTTTCCTTAATTAATTTGATAGTATAGATGCATCAACAAACATTCACATGTTTTCAAGTGAAACCATTGACTCATTGCATTATAGGAATGGAAATTAACCACCTCTACTACCTATTTGAATCTTAATGCCAACCACCTCCTTAAATTTTCTGTTTCATCAATAAACATAGAGTGAATCTAGCACGTGAAACTTAGATAAATAAAAGATATTATCAATTAAGGTACAAACCTTTCAAAAATTTGTTATTGTCCCTCAATTGAAGGACCTATATATAACTTCTCTATGTAACCCAATCGATAAATAAATGTAATCATGTGGGTGGTTTGCATTAATCTTGATACAGCCCTTTCACTATTGCATGTGAGCATGCTCACTCTTGTCCTGTGAATGCTATTAAGGCCATCAATTCATAATCTGATGATATACACATAATTCTACCGAAACAATAAAAGATCAACCACCGCTCCCATTCACTTCACTCACGGTTCATGATAATGTTCGGTTACATTTACATTTACACCTCTATCTTCCATGCATATGCACTCATCAACCCATGAAAGACCTCTCATTCTTCCTCTTCAAGAACTCTCTTGCTGCCAAGATGAAGAAAGGCTTCAGAAACTCTTGCAATGGCGACGCCTCGACCTCTACTCTCAACCAACACCTCCCCGAGTCCTCTTGCGTCCTCACACCGTCTCTTGAGCTGAATGCTACTTCTCCCCTTCCATCTCAACGATCGCCTACCTTGGAGGAGATGATTCTCCAGCTACAGTTGGAAGAGGAACTAGCGAAAGAATCCAAGCTTCGCGGTAGAATGTCATGTGTTAACAATTCTGATATTCTACGATCTGCCAGGAATGCATTGAATCAGTATCCGCGATTTTCTTTAGATGGAAAGGATGCAATGTACAGGTCTTCATTTCGAAACTTTAATGGCCTCGAAAAGGGAAGGAAATCAGTATGCTGTGACCAGGGACTGAGAGAAAGGTTATTTTATGGCTCAAATGGTGTTAAATCAGAGAAAAGTAAACTGTTTTTGCCTGCAACTGTGGCAGGAGAAAGTGTAATTTGGTGCAAACCTGGAGTGGTGGCAAAGCTGATGGGGCTCGACGCGATGCCCGTGCCAACAAATAGCAAAGAGGGTAAAGAAGTAAGCTGTATTATAAGGAGGCAAAATCTGAGAAGGAGGGCTGAAAGACATGAAATGGAGAGAAGAATTGCCATGAATCATCATGGGAGGATGGCTTCATGTTCAAAGGCTGCAGCTGGGTACAGAGTTGTGAAGCCGGAAAATCCTGGAGGCGGTTGGCCACCGAGGCGTTTTCTTTAGATTTTCGCATCATATATATATATATATATATATCTGCCTTAAATTTACAATTACTTGATGCTGCAATTGCATATATGTTAGTTTTACTTAATTTGCATTACTCTTGAAATAGAAGTCACATTACAACACATATTTTGGTGACTCTAACAAAGGTCACGAGCATTTGTATTTTATAACTTATTTAACTATCAAAGATAACAAAGGAATGAATGAGCACAAAAAATTCCCATATGATTGGTTGGACTTTGAAACAAAGTTAATAATATCTTAATACAGAACAATGGTAGATATTTTACTATATTTAATGGTGGTGAAGGAGTGCAAAAGAAGATAGCTGCATTTGTATGCAAATATTTAACTAACTTTGAAAGAGTCATATATGCAGCCAGCTAATGCAATGAACTTTTAGCTTGCTAATTAAGTTGGCTATGTCTAAAGCATTAATTGAACAATGGCAGTTGAATCCTGATAACACTTGATCACTACAATTTAAGAGGATTAATGTAATTCAATTATTTACTCTTGATGACAATAAACAAGGATGCATAAATAATTTTTACATATCCCCATATGAGAAATACTATCATATTCAAATATGTATCTGATATTTGTTATCCCAAAGCGACAATTTTGATTTCAGCGCGATTCAATCCCAACATCGAGAGATTTTTTTCGTAATTAACTTTATTATGGAGAAAGTCTCTTAATTTGCTTGAATCAGTAGCATTCTTTTTAACTTATTCTAAGCCTTTTAAGGCGGCATGAGTTAAAATTAGCTTGAAACCTTTATTCTTCATGTTTGTTCCATAATAGGTTTGTTTATGAGGCTATTATCTTTAAGTCTTTTCATTCATTATATGCAGTCAACAAAGCTATTGTGTAATTTTGGACTTGTCAGGTATATTTATGAATGGCCAGTTGGCTTATGCAGGCTCAACTTCATATTTATTCTCTCTCTGATGCATCACATTGCCCTTCCAATGCCTTGAAAAATCAGAATAAAGAAGTGCATTTCCTCGTTAAATTGTTAAAATATGTTCATATATCATGTGAAAACCATAATGAATGACAAGTTGCATCATAAGCATTATTTCCTCAGTTTTTAAAACTAATCCGAAATGGCCGGAGGGATTTGTGGCAATGGCGAAGTGGGGTTGTCTTCAATCTTTAATTACTTGCTACTTAACATTAAAAAACCTCACCAATTGACTTCGTAAGATCAGTCCACATGAGTATAGCAGGCGAAGCGCGACCGGTTGCTTGCAGATTATGTGATTAGTTTTATTGAACAATGAGGTTTAACTCGACAGTACAAAAGTGTAGTACTGTGATAGATAGCTTAGCCTTCACTCTTGCTGCAGACCAAATTAGCATTAAAATATGGTGAAGAAAAAGCTGAAACTACAGGCTGCAGCCTTACATTGCGTAGAAGATATGGCAGTTGAAGAAAGAAAGAAATATCAAATATTCCAAGTGGGGTTCTTTTTAAAAGATTTTGCAGCCCTGTAATCATATAATCATACTTGTTTGTTAAAGGGTTCATTTCAGAAAAAGTTATGCATGCCCATCAAGTTATTTACCAAGATAACTCATTCTTTAGGATAAGGTTTTATTAATATTATATGCATAATGCCATCTTCTTCCTTCATGCTGATGCATATCTGTAAAGTTATACAATTTTTTACACATTTGTTTGAGAATTTACAGATGGTTACAGCTAAGAGTGTTTAATAAAGAGAAGGAAAAGTTAAATATTTTCTAAGAAGAAGAAGAAGAAAGCAAAAGGGATAAAAAAGGAAAGATGATTATTATAAGGTGGACGGTTTGCCACATGCACACCACTTTGATTTAATCCATAAGATCCTGAATTTGAGGTAGTCAAATTCACTACTAATTAATCTTCTTAACTTTGATAAAACTATATAATATAATATAATATATAAAATGATATGAGATTCTTCTCGGTATTGGTGTCAAAAGTAAGAGGTGGATTCCCAACAGGAATGGCCAAAGCATATTTTTTACAGCTTCCTAGAATATTAAGCTGCACGATGATGAGTCAAAATGAAGTACCCTCCACACCCATGTGCCTTTTTTTTTTTTTTTTTTTTTATATTATCAAATAATTAATATAAGGCAGCTAATTAAAGATAAAACTATTGACTACGGAGATTCTTTTATTAGTATGGCTACAAAAAGCAGAGGACATCAGTTTAGTTTGCTAGCTAATTGCTAAAGTATGATGCAAGAAATGCTCAGAATTTCAATCTTTTCCTCTTGGATGGAATATTATAACTGTAAGAATAAAGATTTGTCCATCTACCAATGCCAATTAGTGGTGTCCACTTCCTCTTGTCTTTGGACTGCTGATATAAAAGTTCATTATGTTCTGTTAATCTTTTCAACGATTAACTACCGCGAGAAGCGAATCTTATAGCATGAGACGACAAGAATAAATTAATGAGGAATATAATGTGATAAGGAAAGCTATGCAAATTTAACTGATTTTGTTTTGCAGTGGCTTAGAATAATGAACAATCTGCATAACTTTCTTGAATTACAGCCAGTACCATTTTCAGTGTCACTAAGAGAACATCACACATTTCCTCATAAAAGTTTCAGCTCCACTTGACCACCATTTATGCGCATTCCCAAGGTATCTTGGTATTGAAAATGGAGGTCAAAAGTCCACTTGACTGCACTACTAGGCAAATGGATATTTTTTTAAGAAGTGGAAGTGGGGAGTTTCTTAACTCTGTGGTTGGTTATTTTTAACGGTTTCAGTTTTAGTTAGTTGCAGATACCGCTTTAAAAGTTTCTGTTTTCTATTATTTTAGCCATACAATATTTTATTTATATAACCTCTCACTTCCCTTGCTTCCTCATCTATATATACACTTGAATCCCCTGACTTCCTTCTCATATTCTCCCTCTTCTCTCTTTACTTGTTTTAGCTGGGCACATTCTCTTCTAATTTCTCAATTTCTCTTTGGTTAAGAAATGGAAGTTGTTGGATATGTCATAGTAGCTTTGCTCACAACACTAAAAGCAGTTGAGGGCTCTGGAAGTGGGTGGATAAATGCTCATGCTACCTTCTATGGAGGCGGCGATGCCTCCGGCACAATGGGTTTGTTTGCTACATTTTTTTTACTTTTTCTTCTTTCATTGTTTAGGCATGTTTGTTGCATGCTCTAAATTGTTTGGTTATGCAGGTGGAGCTTGTGGGTATGGAAATCTTTACAGCCAGGGCTATGGGACAAACACAGCTGCACTAAGTACTGCTTTATTCAACAGTGGGTTGAGGTGCGGATCTTGCTATGAGATTAAATGTGTAAACACTAAATGGTGCTTATCAGGATCCATTATTGTCACTGCAACCAACTTCTGCCCCCCAAACCTTGCTCTCCCTAATAACAACGGAGGCTGGTGCAATCCTCCCCTTCAACACTTTGATCTTTCGCAGCCCGTCTTCCAACACATCGCTCAGTACAAAGCCGGAATAGTCCCAGTTCAGTACAGGAGGTAAGCACATACACCATTTTATCAAACAATTTTTTACTTTACTTGCCTAACGTCTCAATTTATGGAGGAAAATCATTAAATCTGTTTTTCTTTTGGTGATGTTGTGTTGCAGGGTTGCTTGCAAGAAGGCTGGAGGAATCAGATTCACAATCAATGGACACTCCTACTTCAATCTTGTGCTCATAACCAATGTAGGCGGCGCAGGCGACGTGGTTGCTGTGGAGATAAAAGGTTCAAAAACTGGGTGGCAATCCATGTCCAGGAACTGGGGTCAGAACTGGCAAAGCAACTCCTACCTCAATGGTCAAGCCCTCTCTTTCAAGGTCACAACCAGCGATGGACGCACTGTCATCTCCAACAGCGCGGCTCCATCCAACTGGAACTTTGGCCAAACCTACAGTGGAGGCCAGTTCTAACTTTCCCAACACAAAATCTGACCATAATCACACTTCCAAATTGAGTTGGCAACCTCTAACTTCAGCAACATTTTCTTCTTCTCTAATTACATATCTACGTATATAAGAGTGTGTCATGGTGGGGTGTTATAGAAATAGCCCCCCATGTGGGATTTTTGCCTGACTGCAAGCTTTTAGTTAGGCTTCTTTTCTGTAAACTGAGGGAATCTACAAACAGTAGAAGGCTTCAAAGTAAGTAACCAATAGGTTTGTTTTTTCTGATGTATTTGTGGTGTGTGATACACATTTTGGCTGAGGTGAAAAAGGCATTTCACCCGCTTAAGCTCAGTTGGTTTTGTTATCTGATGCTTTGTGTCCTTGTAATATCTATAGGAAATAAATAATACTTGGAGTGTGGTTAATGGAACAAGTTTCAGTTTCAATTTTACTCTTTTCCCCAGAAACAAGCACTTTTCCTCAATTGGGTTGCATTGAAGCTTTTGACTGATGCCAACCCATTTGGCATTATCATATTGGTGTAAAATAAGGTGATTACCAATTGCAGAAAACGGGAGCTATAACTTAGCATAGTGGTGAGGTAATTTTAAGGGTGGAGATATGATACCAAATACCAATGTCACTCTTGGTAAATGTAAGTTTGAACAAAAGAAGCTTCAAGCACTGGAGTCTTGATGACCACGAAAATGGTGATTAATTGCACAAAATCTTCAGCTGACTTGGATGACGCGCCTTGGTCCAATGGTCCAACCTTTGGTTGACTGTCTGGAGAGTATTGTCAAACCTCTCCAGGTAGCTTCTTATAGCTGAGTCAAGCTGTGAGCTTGACGGGATATCTCCCACAGCATTCTGCGGGGCTGAAGGTTTTTTGGAAGAGGTATCCCCCTGAACTTAGGGGGATCCCTGAGTGCCCTGGTTAGTTTACTCATGTTCTGGTTGGCAGGTCATTCGTTGCTGTAGGATCGGTGGGTTGGAGACTCTCCTGATGAAGGATGAACAGTAAATCAGGCTCTCCTTCTAGCGCCAAACTGTTGATGCAAGATTTTGCACCAATGAAATGCACGTGCGAAATGTTGTAAGGACCCCGAAATCACACATGAAAGTAATGGATAAGAAATAGTAAATGCAATGGAGACAACTTTTAAAGTGGTTCGGATGCTAAGGTAACAAGTCCTACGTCTACTGATGTTTATATTGATGATGGTGGTCAAGTCGCTATTAGCGGACTGACTTTATAGTGATATTACAAGGTATCAGTTGCTAAGAAAAGAGAGAGCAATTAATCAAGCGAAAAATGTGCTAATCCCCTTAATGAGAGATGAATTCCTAATTTATAGTGAGATACCTTGAGGCAATGATCACTAAATCTGCAAGTTGGTGGGATTATCTGTGCAAATCCCTCTTTATGTCACATTGCCCATCTTCCAGAGTGATTTGCGCGATTTAGAGCAGGGATTAGACACGTGAGAGCACCACAGCCTCCTGACTCGCCTGGCGCGTGCCCATTAACTTGACAAACCCAGACGGTGGCTATTCCAATGATCTGACTTTTGCGGGCTAAAAGGTCCTGACATCAGCCCTTATATTTTTAAGCATAACACTTTTAAATAATAAGATAAAAACAAAATCAAATTTACTATTTCTCTTCCTTTCTCACTCCTTAAAACTTTTTTTTTTTTCTCTAAAATATGATTTACTCATTTAATTAATATCATAGTTTGCTTCAGCTCTTTAATTAGATCAAATTAAACTCCACTTTCATATTGTCTTTTTAAAAAAATAATATATATATTTAAATAAATGTTTTTAATTGATAGTTTATTTAAAAAAAAAGTTATTATTTTCAGACAAATATACCGAACATATTATTATTTTTCAATCAATTTCAATATTTTTAAAATACATAAAACGAATTCAAAAAATTCACAAATAAACACACCCTTTTATACTTAGAGGATAGATCCAAGTATCCAACCAAATATTTAACATTAAGTACGGATGGACCAAAATGGAGTCACAGGTATTAGGTTAACCCATGGATCTATCCGATATGATAAGCCCATTCTAGCATAAACTTTAGAGACTTGGGCCCAAAATGACTAATAATCGGGCTTCTTTTAACTCGATTTGGGCCACAATTTTCAAACAAGTTACTCTTACACAGCCCGTTTAGCCCGCGGGCTGAGGTTGGTTTAACTGTGTTGGAGCCCCCATTCCAACAGAAAAGACAAATAAAAATTGGACTGAACTGCAACTGCAATTTCGCGTGGCTCCTTGAAGGGATTTTTGGAACAGGGAATAATTCATTCCATCAATCAAGATCTGTTCTTAGCTCTTCTGTTTTCTGGTTAGTTTCTCTCTGCTTTAGATCTTCTTTTCATTCGATAATCGTATTGCCGCTTTCTCAATTTGATTTTTAATTTTAAGAAACATAATAATCAATTAATTGCATGAATTGAAGGATGAAGATGAAGGCGAGTTGCGTTCTGTTAGCGTTTTTGTTGTTATTTGAATCTCTAGACGTATATGCTTTGGCTTCCCCTTCCACTGTGCCCGCCTTTCTTTGGTCTCCTCATCTCAATCAGTAAGCTTCTGTTATTTTTTTTTTTTTTTAATTTTTTTTAAATGTTCATTATTATTATTGTTATGATTTGAATTGTGGTATTTCAAATTAATGGATGGATGAATGAATGGGTTCTTTTACAGGTTGCAATCTGATAATGTTTTAGATTATCAAACAATATCTCCGAAGGATCTGGCAAAGTCTGTTCTTTCTCAAGGGGGCTGGTCTGATTTATTGGTATTCCTTTTGTTATTATCATCTTTTGATAATTTCTTTCTGATATTTTTTTAAAATTTTTAGTACAAAGTTTCACATTTATTACTTTTTCAGTGCTCAAGGAAGCAATCTTCCCAATCTGTTGATGTGGCACTTGTTTTTGTTGGTAGAGAGGTAAGCTTTTGGGTCTCATTATTAACAATTTATGCTTTAAGTTTTGTCACGATAGCCATAAACAATTTATGGTTTTAAAAGTTTGAACTCAGTCTTTTAAGTTTTTGAATCATTGCCATTTAATGCATTGTCACCCTTTTGCTACTTTCATATGTTTAGGTTACTGATGATATTAGTTTTTGTTATCTGTAGTTGGAATCTTCTCATGTTGCTGGGAACAAACATGCTGACTCAGCTTTGGTAGACTTGCTCAAGGTAACTAGAGTTCTGCCCCATTGTCTTAGATGAGTTTCATGGATTTAAATACATCATTTGGGATTTTTAATCCAATCAAAGTTTTGGCAATAGGTCTCTTTTACGAGGTCAAATTTTTCCGTGGCGTTCCCATATGTTGCTGTATCAGGGGAGGAAACAATGGAGAATTTGTTGGTTTCAGAGTTTACAGAAGCTTGTGGGGATGATCTGAGAATCAACAATGTCGCATTTTCAGAGTCCTGTGCTGTAGAGGGTGGCAATTTTCAGAAGCTTGCAGACTTGCACTCAGTTCAGGTAAGTTAGCACAATGTTATGTATCTTGTTATGAAAGTTTTTGCTCAATGGAGAATTTCTAATGCATTTTTAATCCTTGTTATTTGTATTTAACAAAATATTCTTGAATAATGATCAGGATCATCTGCTTTCAAGAATGGAGAAGAAAACAGAGGGGCAAGCTAATTTGGTTGTCTTCTGCTATGATGGCACTAAATCTGAGAATCAACTTGACCAACCACATCCCGAAAGTATGTAAAGTTCATTTAAATAATTTCAGGAGGACGTATCATTTATGTCATCTGATTCAATTTATTAAACCATATGCAGGTGAGGTTATCTCGGGGCTTATTCATTCTGTGGAGCAGTCAGGGGCAAAGTACACAGTTCTTTATGTTTCTGATCCTGTTAGGTCTATTCAGTATCCTACTTATCGGGAGCTAGAAAGGTTTCTTGCTGAAGGTGCTGTAGGAAATGGGTCAGCGAATTCCACTGGCTGTGATGAAGTTTGCAAGTTTAAGTCATCGCTTCTTGAGGGAATTCTAGTTGTAAGTTGTTGCCTCTTTTGTTCTTATGTCTGCAACTTAAATAGCTATGGTTTGGCTTTTCTGCATAGAAACTGAGAGATTATTTCTTTCTCTACTTTGATATTTAGCTAATATAAGAAGATATGCGCCTTAAATAGTCTGTTTGTTTTCTTTATTTTAAAAAAGTTCTCCAGAGCAGCCTATTTAGTCTATTGGTGCCAACTTTTCTTTTTGGTGTCTCTAAATAGGGCTGGAAGGCTTGGACCAAGACACCATTCTCATCTCTTCATCTTATTTTGACCTTTGAAAAGCTCATAAAAGTGACCATGAGCTAATTTGATGTTCCTTCTATGACTAATGATATGCCCATTTGACTAGGGAGATATGTAGCTACTTGTAGGATAGGATGATAAGAGTTTGGGCTCATGAAGATTCAGTTATCTTAGCTAAAAATGGTGACCAAAATTTTGAGTCTTGTAGTGTCAATATTACCTATGCTGTTATATTCTCCTTGGCTGTTGCTCTTAGCTTGAGCCATCCTTTTTTATTTTTTATTTTTTTATTTTTATCCTCTTTCTCCCCTCCCTCTCATTCTTTTCCTTTATGCAAAACCATCTTCCACATTTTCTTTGAGGTTCTTTCTCTTCATAGTAAGAGAAGAGTTAGAAACAACCTTGTTCATATGGTCTGTAGCTCTGCGTTCATCCCTTATACTGATTAAGATTGAACAATAGTGGTTATGATATTAATCATTTAGTTAAACTGTGACTAGTTTGTTTCTGTCTTGGGTGCCTCTAGTGAAACCTTTTAGTATGAACCTTTTGCCTATTTGTAATTATTTGCAATTAGTTGAGGCTGCATTATATTATTGTTAGTATGTCCACTCTTCAAACTTTCTATGAAACTAGTGAGAGTAGGTATATCTTCTCATGTTTCTATATTCTCATAATGTACGGCCGATGTTTGATGTAGGGTTCTTTTATCGTGTGGGGGTTGAATATTTTTGGATTGATGGGTTTGAACATACTGTTTATGATGTATTAGTGTTGCTGTGCACTGATCATCTTGCTACTCGCTATTGTACATTTTTACATTTCTAGGGTCCTGATATTACTCTTTGCTTGTATTTCAGGCGATTGTTCTGCTTCTAATTTTAATATCAGGCCTTTGCTGTATGATGGGCATTGACACGCCGACAAGATTTGAGGCACCCCATGAATCTTAATTAATTGTTTGTGCAAGATAATAGCTTAATGTTATGGGTTGCCAGGGTCTTCTTTTGCAGGGACTGGCAAAAGGTATTGGTCATTTGTTATATATAGTTGCAGTCAGTAGTGATGCAGATGCTATCTTGTAATATTTGTTTACCTATTTCAATTCACATTTGGTTATGTTACTAATGGAGAGACCCTTCATATCAACACGGCATATTTGTTCTCTTTCTCCTTGTGTTTCTGAAATAGGGATTCATATCTTGCACTGGGTAGGGTTTGTAGCAGTGATATTAAATAGCCTCATTGGTATTGTAATTGATTTCACTGTAGGTCATATTTTTTGCTATTTTGTGAAAATAAATTATTCAATGCTGAGCTGGCAGTGATGCAGAAATGCTATATTATTTCCTTCAAAAGCTTTCTGCATTTTTCTAAATTTTCGAATAAGTTCTTTGCGATCTGCAGAGGTTAAAAGTTTTCTTTACTGTGCACTTATGGATGATGTCTCCGTTTTTTACCTTCCCACTTTTGGTTCTAGTGTTTGTTTTGCTAAAGATGTGTAGATTTCGAATTGAGGACTCATCATGTCTGAACTGCAATGAAACAATTCTTAGATTCTGGTGCTTTCTTTGCTGTATAAGTTCATTATTTCATTCGCGTCCCTGCCTAGGTTCATAATGTCTTTAATCATGTTATCAACTTTGTCACTCTTGAAGTTGCGATTATAGACGAGTACTTTGAACTTGCAAGCAAAAGGAGTGCATAATTTTAGGTTTTTCAAGACTATAATGTTGGTTTAAATTGCTAACGTTGGCATTGTCCTTTCGGTTTGTTGAGATGAAGTGAAACAGCTTATGAGAATGTTCAAAATGACAGTTCCAAGAGATCTGTATTATTTATTCATTAATGTTCAAATTCCCTTGACCTAATGCATATTATGCAGTTCTTTTTTAATTTCTTTTTCATGGTAAGTATTTTCCATATTGCATCGAAATAAGAAAGGTTCTTTCTGTCTGCTTGATAGTGGGATGTTGAAGTATATCTAAACACAACTATTCTTCTCCATTCACTTTCTTTTCAATTTTTGATTTATATAACATTTGATTTCACTGACCAGAGAATTGAGGAATTAAAAGTGCAATGAATATGCCTAACCTTATCTTCCTGCACTTGATAAATTAACACTTCAAACCTTTAAGAGCTTAGCTGAATGGTTAGGTATGTAGTTTGCTTTCACAAGATCTGGGGTTTTGAGCTCCGTCTTGAGCATCTGCATGTCAAAGGTCATTGTTTCTAAGATTCTGAGGTTTTCTATTTTCTAAAGATGGTTGGGTTTTGTGGGATTCTAATTTTAAATTTGGGCTTACAAAGTAATAATGGGGATTTTTGGAATATTAAAAAAAATAAAAGCTAAAATTCCCTCCACTGTGCACTCTGCAGTTGTCATCTCTTCTCTCTCTAGTATCTTTGGTATATGACCTGTAATGTGATGTTGCTGTCTTTAGCTTTTCACTTTAGCTGTTTCTACAGCCATCTCTGCTTGATATCACAGAGCCCTTGTGACCCACTTTTGAGATGGAGGAAGCAACTCGTTTATGTCAATCTTACCATAATTCCATCCCGTGTAAAGCCAAAGAAGCCTATATTTCAACTGCCCATTTATATAAAATGCGTGTGCCACAGAGAGAGAGAATACTGGAAACAAAAATGATGGGGAATAAACAAAATCAGAAGAGAAGAGAAACAAAAGGAATCCTATATCCATTTTTGAAGTGAGTGCTTTAAAACATTAGCAAAGAAGCAATACACAAACATAGCAGGCATTGATGTTTGAGTCCTCTCACTTCCCTAGATTTAAACATCCACTATATGTTTCTTAGCTACTCTGCACTGCTCTCAATTCTGATATAATTTTTTTTTTTTTTTAACATTTCGGTGGAAATTATATGAATAAATAGAATAAGAAAGTGACCCTTTTTCTTATTTATATATATGAAAGTGTCAGTGTATATAAGATTCCCTTATTCATCACAATCTTTATTTCTTTATGTTTGATGTCGTTTTGCTATAGCTTTTGTTCATGCGGACATGCCCTTTCGGGTTGCTGTAGAGATACTAGCTATCTATGAGGTACTGCACGTGAATTTTATTTGTACAACAATATCACCATTGAAAGTTGAATCCACTATGTCTTTTCTTTCTTTCTTTCACAGTCTAGGGAATGCTGTAAGCTGTAACGAAACTAACATGTTTGTCACTAATTGAAAATTTTTATCCCAACCCCCATTATTGAAACTTCCCAAATCTTTTTGCCGCATTCTTTTAATTACATTTTGTTCGTGCGAAAAAAATGGCTTGGACAGATGCTGCTGCGTGAGAGGTAGGTTAAAATTTATCCCTCAACGCATATATTTCTTCATCATCTCATGATTTGGCTTCCTGTACATCGTATTTGTTTTCTTTAATTTGCAAGTTTTAATTATCTGAGGAGGAGAGAAAAGGGAAATGGGATGGTGAAGAACTTTACCCTTATCCCCTCTCTTCATTTGTATAATACTCTTTTGGTCCATATCCTTCTTGGAGTTTTCCATATATACTCAACCAATCTCTCTTTTAATTCATCCATTGCATTCTATAAATTTATATATATAACACTCGTGGAGCTCTCCCTCTTTGGGCAAACAATGCTATCACCACCGGAATAATACCCTTCTCTGATGGGCGAAGAAATGGATTTCCCTGTCCCTCCCCATTTTAGCCTATGTATGTTTGTGGAGGACATGGCTTCTACTGGTGCTCTTAGAGTTCTATTCTTTTTATCTAAGGCCTTGCCTGCAGGCATAGAAAGTATTGTGCAGCCAAGGATGACTTGCCGGCCGACTCTTTTCCTGTGGTTATCTCTTTGAATGATTCACAGAGATGAAGTTGGCAAGTTGTTCTTGGCTACATGTTTCTTTCTACCCCGTATGCGAGGCCTCTGATGACTTCTTATATTCGTTAAAGGAGCTTCTGCAACAAATTAAAAAGGTAATGCTTCAGCTTTAAATAATGGTTTTTGGTTTATTATATGCTTAATTAATACACATTTCTTCTGCATCATATATACCAAGTAACACTTGAGGATCAGTTGTAAAAAGCGTTTTCTGGCATTGTTGCAGATTTTTCAACATTGCATGCTACATGGATTTCATTTTTCATGAGCTTTAAGCTGGTCTTTACTAGCCATATATAGTACAACTTGTCAGTCTGATTATGAGTTTATTAATTTGATGCTTTCATTCATGAGTCAATCGTATAAATTATTGCATATGAAAGATAGTCAATCAAGTTTTTGTATTTTAAACAATAAATAGTCATCAAACTGTCAAAAGTCAGCATCAGAAAGTCTTAAATGTCTAGAATAATTAGTGCAACATCAAACCTAATTCACTGCACAGATTCACATTTCTCACTTCTTTTAATTACAATTAGGTTGAGGGTCGTCAAATTAAAACAACAATACTATGCATCCCAAAAGTTATCATCCCAAATAAAGTATAATCCTATATGGTGTTGAGATATAAATGAAATGTTGATTTGGTAAATGACTTGACATGTTATATAAGATAACACATCATTTGAGATGTGAACCTAACCCAAGACTTGTCTTGAGTTAGGAATAATGTGATGTATAATTGTTCTTAGTCTTGTTTAGTTTTTAGTTTTTTTTTTTTTTGAATCCTATCCCAACACATCTTGTGGTAGAATGTCTTTGTCTTTCTGTTACTTTGCTTGCTTCTCTCCTTTGTCTACGATTCTTCGCGTGTTTAAGATAGACAAATAAGAGGAGATTAAATTTTTAGTCTATTAGCTTGTGATTTTGTTTCTATCCCAGGGTCTATCTTAAGGTAGGATGGTTGATTTTTTTATGACATCTTTGTACAATCTTTCTTTCTTTTAATGATACTACTTACTAATCCAAAAAAAAAAAAAAAAAAAAAAAAATTGAGATATAATTTGGATGTGTAGTATTACTCAAATTAAAAAGGGTAAAAAGAAAAACCGTTAATCATATGTTGTTTCAAGAAATAAGAGTTATATAGTTTACCATAATTTCAAGATTCTAGGTTAACATAGTTTCTCTACTTATTGCTAGGTTTTGATGTGAAAATTTTATTTTTCTGTGGTTTTAATAAACATGAGATATTGCTGTTTTATGTTTAGAGATGGATAATTATAGTATTGATATAGTGTTTTTGCAGTGAGATCAGTAGGAATTTAAGAGCTCAAATATGTCTGGGTGCTTAAAACTCTGAACTTTCTCCAATAGCAATACAAGAATAAGCTTAAATATTATCTCGTTTAGTACATAATAAACTGCTTATTATCTCCTTTGAAAACGAGGTTTAGTGTGTTAATTACTAAATCTAATGCTAGGACGGGAGCTGCTCTATATTCAGAGTCTGTTTGGTATGACTTATTCGAGTGAAACTTATAAAAACAGAGCTTATTAGAGTAAAGCTTATGAAAATATATGTTTTATGAAAGCCCTTGTGGTTAGATGACGAACCCTTTAACCATTGGAGTTAACTATATATAAAGATCTTATGTTTCAGTGGTGGAAGAGACAATTAATTGTTGGGTTTACTAAAAAAAATTACAAAATAAAATAATGGATGGTTTTGAAATTTTAACACTGCAAATAAGTTGAAAAGAGTTTATGGGAAAAGCTCAACCCGTAAAATATCAAGCAAACAACCTAAAAAAAAAAAAAAAAAAAAAAATTAAAAATACTTATAACTCTAAATAAACTGTTTAGTAAGAAAATAAGCTCAAAAAAACATGCTTTTAAAAACTAACTTAACCTAAAACAGGAGCTCTAGAAGGTGTGAATATTAGTATATTAGAATGAGAGAAGTGAAGTCTATATATAGAATTTGCATGTCGGTTGGGCTGTGACTTGGAATAATGTAGAAGTTGGTTGGTAGGTTTAGAGAACTTTGATTGGGTGGTGAAGCCTTTCGAGGCTGAGTTTTGCATGGCTCATTCATATTCATCCTATTTTATACCTGTTATCCTGGCTTAAAATCTTTACATCATAGCATGTCGGATATGTATTGAGCTTCTAATTTAGGTGGTTGCCGCTTGAGTTGGCCTTTCTTCTTGAGGTGGTAGTCAAAATGTGTTGACATTTTATATATAAATGTATATTTCACTTAATTTTATGATTTTGGTTGTGAATCATTCATAGTTTATCAATCTAATAGTGTTCATATATATTGAACAAGCAGTAAAAGGAATTACGTACCTATAACTTTTCTCTTAACACAGTTGACTTAACAAATATAATTGGTTTAAAAGTAGTATGAAATATTAAGTCAATCTATTAGGGTTGATATATCAATATATATTTCTCGACACACATTTCACTTAAACGGTGAAATGTAGAATGTGGTGAAACCAATGCTTTCTTTCTTTAACTGTTGAAAGGAAGCATTAAGAATTCTATTAAAGATGGTACAAATTTTTTTTAGGTAGAATAGATGTATCATGTCATTTAATGCATATATTCAATATAAATATATTAATTTATATATTTTTCTAAAAACTATTTAGTTTATAAATATATAAATGATGTAATATATTTGTTCTATAAAAAAGTAGTTTCTCGAAAGAGCTGATATTCAGTTGTGCCCTAGAAGTTGTTTAATTGGAGGAAGAATTACTAATCTTTATCAAGTAGAAAGGGATGTGCAGGGTTTGGAAGCAAATGGAATAAGTGGATAGTTAATGACATATGCATGCATGTGGTAATGGGGACTACATCAGAATCATTCATGCATAATGTTCTTCAGCAGAAAATCAAAGAATTCCCCAGAAATTCTGATGCTTCTCTCGGTTAATTTTACTGCTGTCTGTTGTCATCAGTGAAGGTTTCTTCTCCATCTCCATCTCCATGAGTTAAATATTAAATAGTTAATTTGGTTCATATGAGTTAGATGCGAGTGCTTCTTTCGTTTGACAAGCAAATCTAAGATTATGATTCAAAGAATTAATGTGTTTATGTTCAAGAGTTGATGCTGGTAAATTGATGAACACCATGTTTGCCTCTGAAGTTGCTAGGAGAAAACCCTTTTTCTTAATCTTCTGCGATTTATTTCATTTCCCCCCCTGTGATCGAGACAGTCCCTATATAATATCAACAGTTCAACACCCTCTTACAAAATCATGTAAAAACCTCATATGAAGGTGCTTTTTATACTTTTTAAATGAAGCAACTGACATTATAATTGTTAGTGTTGTTGACCACTTCAGCATTAATGGACTATGCTGAAGCATTCAGGGTCCCCGTTCGACGTAAGCGGTTTTGGGTTTTTTTCATGTATAATTGTTGAAGGATTTCTTTAAATTATTAATTTCTTATTGGGTTTGGGTTTAGGAATAAGAATTATTGTAAAATCAGGTTTAGTCTCTTAAACCTAATATTTAAACATATTTTTCTCTTGTAATGAGTAATATAACACTCATAAGGCAAATTACTTCATTGTAAACGAGAGAGGTGAGACAGTATTGAAATATTATTGACTCTGCTGGACGTAGTCTGTTAATTAAGTGAATCAAAGTAAATCGCGCATATCTTATCTTTTGTTTTATTGTTTTGATTTGTTATTTTGTTTTCGTATTACTCTCTATTTCGTTCAATAATAAGCGATCTCAAAGAGAAAAAAAATATACATAACCTTCTTCAAATATAATATAATAGCCATAGAATTTTCAATGTTTGCATTTCAATTCCTTTGCTTCCTCAAAATAATATATTTACAAATAAAAAAAGTACTTGGCACTGGAAGAAATTTGTTGTTTTGTACGACCACATGCTCCGAATAACACTTAAATTAAATATCATCATCTTCTGATGAAATTTGTGTGGTTGAAAAGGTCTATTACAATGCAAAATTGGACGAGAATACAAAATTATAATTACAGCCAAGATTTGGTCAGAAAATGTTGGATTTATAGGAGCTGAGCTTGTGAATGAATCTTCTTCCCCTATTGCGATCTTTTTCAGATTTTATTAGGTTTGATGTAGTGAAATTAAAGAATAAACAATTGAATGACATATAGTTCAGTAATCATGGAGAATCCACCTAACCCCTTATTATTAATACAAAGACACCTTCAATGATGTCAACTCAATTAATTAACAACTTTTCATTAATTTAATTAGGGTTTTTCTACCCATCAAAGGATGGATCCATGTATGTATTAATTATCTGTTGATTGTCACATTCTTTATTTGTTTCCATCCTCTAAATATACCTTGATGATTGATTAATACACTAATTAATGTTAAGAAATAATATATAGAAATTAGTTACAACTTACAACAAGTTGGCTAGCTACCCTTTTCAAGAAATAGAGTTTTGATGAGTAATATTATTTGGGATTTTTTTTTTTTGAAGAAGTATGGTTTAATTTACAAATTACAACCACTTTATTAGTTACACTTTAGATCATACATTTGATGAATATTTTAGAGGATTCATTTTATTTTTCCGCCGTGAGATTGATTGAAATGATACTCATCCCTTTTGTTAAGAAAGTACCAAAAAAAAAAAAAAAAAAATCTATGATTTTGAGATTTCACAGAAGCAGAAATGGACAGGAGAATTTTCAGGTACTGTAATTAAAATTCGGTTAGGGAGATTTGCAAAATGGGTGATACAGAATGGTGCCCCTAAAAATCGTTTTTCCCTCGTTTAATTGGCTTCAAAATGTGGGGAATTACTGTTGTAAACATAACATAAATCTATAAATGAGAAAGTATAATTAGTATTGAATGAGCTTGTCAAGTGAATTAGCANTATATATATATATATATATATAGTAATCGGGGTGTCCGAGCCAACTCGCGTATATCAACTAAATCCCTGGGGTGCATTGAACACCTTACAAGTCTAAAAAATTAGGTAAGTCACAATATTATTGTGGTAGAGCCTCAAGGTTTGAATCCAATAACTTAAGGAAGTGAGTAAATCTCTTTGACCGTCAAATCAACTCCATGGGGTTAAATGCATGCATTTGCATAAACACACTTCAAAAAAGCTGGTCCTAAATCTAATTCACATTTTTAAATAGAGGATTAAAAGAATAATGTATAATAAATGACCATTTCTTTGGAAATCTAAAACTTACACTATATTATTACGCCATCGAATCAATGGCATAACCGGTAGGGTAATTTGGCCACAAAGAGATGAAATGTCACCCCCCAAATATTCATGGTACAAGATCAAAAGCAATAGTTAATTAATTAATTATAGATTAAGGTTAATTAATTTATATTATTATTCTTGTTGTTTGTGTCATTATCGTAAGTTGAAACATAATTTTCTTTGATAGGTCTATGTTAACATAAAATATAGGCACCCAAATCAAAGATTTAACCAGCTATTTTGAGTATGTGAACAGGGAATGTTTGGTGAGCTAGCTTCAAATTAATCAGTCATTAATTTTGATTAAACTAAACTAATTCCATAATGAGAAATTCATAACAGTGATATATGAACAGCCAGCCTTTTACTCTAACCTTTGTGGAGAAATGAGTGAAAAATAATGCAATGCTTTTTGCCACTGGAGGGGGCCCCTTAACAATGCAAATATGATATTTTCATCATCACGCAAAACTAAGGAAAGAAAGGTTGGTATTTTGTCAAGAAGCTCACTACATTCCAATAATAATTATCTGTATAATACATGATGGTTTCACATGGAGTTTTCAGAGAGTTCTTATTAAAGAAATAGAGTTTTCAGATGGTTGCAGGCTTTGTGTTTTAATGGTTTTAACACTCACTGATTAGAGCACATCAATTCTTTCTTCAGCATAGAACCATTTCTGAAAGTTCAACTACCATATCTTTCTCTCTCTCCCTCTCTCCTTGGACCAGATTATTAATATTGTCTCTCTTTGAATGTTATGATTATATTAATATTATGTCTACACCAAATTCTACTTCCTGGGGGATTCTCACTAAGTTTTTGATTGACTCAAACATATATGGAGCTATCTGACAATGTCTAGCTTCTTCTGTGATTATACTTTCAGTTTTCCAGGAGTTTTTTGAAGCACTAAATCAAGGTAACTTTGTATTTTTGTCTCTGCATCTTTTCACTTTTTATTTCCATGTAGATTTGGCATGTTGGTTTTTTTTTGTCTCCATAGTTTAATTAGTTTTTAGCTGCCTATTTCACTTAAAACATTAATTAAAGAAAATTGGGGAAACAGAAAAGAACCTGGTGTCTTAGATGGATGCTGTGAGCTGGAGACAAAATGGAGTCATCAGGTTTTTGCTGTCTGCAAATCTACTCAAGAGCATAAATTTACAAGTTAGAAACTTATCAATGGAATTTTGTTTCCTCCGAATCTTAAAGAACAATGGACATTCAATTGTTAAGAGCATTACAGCAGTGCATATATAGTTCTGCCTATACTCATTCTCAACAATTTATTCAAAATGCACAGTGCAGGTTGAAGACATGGAATAAGACATAAAAATTAAGAGGGAGGGCGGTCCTTTATACATCATAGAGAGAAGACAAAGACCATGGACTCGAGGCAACCTGTTCAGAACCTTGGCGAAACGATTCATTCCCTGCTAGGACTGAAGGCACATTTAACTTCTAATTGGGTTAAATCTGTTCGTGATATAATAAAAAACCTACCATCTGAAAAATCATCTGCTGATATAAAAGCAAAAACCTTAGAGACAGGGGATTCTTTAGATAACGAAGATGTAGAAGGAAATGCCGTTTCAAAACTAAAAGGTAGATAAGTATCTGTGAACTTGTATGTTGGCATGTTTGTCTGTCTGTATATCTTTGCCACGTTTCCATGAATCATTACCTCCTACTCATTCCATTCGTTTCATTATTGTCTCTCCTTTGTTTGTTTGCCTGTCAACAGATGAACTTGGTGTTTTAACTGCCAAGATAAATCAATTAAACATTCAGAGAAGGCAAGTCCTGAGTGAATTTCTGGACTTGAAAGGTAAGTAATCTTGAACAATCAATCATCAATATAAATCCACAGTATGAATACATATTTGAATAGAACCTTTTTCTTCCAATAAAAATCAAGATCTTGGTGACATCACCTTTTAACTCAACCGAGTTAGGTTGATCAAGAAGATTTTGGGTCCGAAACAGAATGATTATTAATGTCTTTGGACAATTGGTTGCACTCAACTTGAAAAACCATTGTAAACTGATTCTGGTCATTTGCTCTTCACATCTGCCATTGCAGGGAATATCCGTGTATTTTGTCGTGTAAGACCAATCAGAGTGGAGGAGAATTACGGATGCTTAAGACCTGTTGTAGCTTTAGATTCAAACAATGTTCTTCTGAGGCTTCATGATAATAAGAGTAAAAGTTACAGCTTTGACAAGGTTTTCCATCCAGGTTCATCACAAGGTGATTGAAATGCAACAACTTCTATGTGATTTCATTTCTTTCTTCATTATATAGACCCCTGAAAAAGGAAGACAATTATTTTATGATCAAAATAGCTTCTAGTACATAGAATCACAATTTTTATTATTGAAAATTTTCAGATGAAGTATTTTCGGAAATTGAGCCGGTAGTTAAGTCTGTTCTGGATGGCTACAATGCATGCATTTTTGCATATGGGCAGACAGGAACAGGAAAAACTTTCACCATGGTAAGGATCTTCTAAAATCAGTTGCCTTATAGCATAGGTATCTCTACAACTAAAATGCCATGTTTTAGGCCTCATGACACAAAATACTGAACAGTCAGGAGCCTGAACTCTGCATTCTCTGTTCAGGCTGATCAATCCTCAATCAAGAAGTAATATGAATGAGTCATCACATTTATCATGTATGACATATAAATGTACTAATTGGTTTCCAATGGAATGACTTATATCTGACAGTATTAGTAAATATAATTCAAAATTATCTAGATTAATTCTTTCCTATCTAAGTTTGTATAACTTTTCTTAGTGTACTTGTTATTCACCTAAATTTAAAGGAAGGTAATCCAGATTCCCCTGGCGTAGTGCCCCGCACAATTGAAGCACTGTTTAAGCAAGTAGTGGAGAGCAATCATCCATTTCTCATCAGCTTTAGTATGCTTGAAATTTACTTGGGAAATCTCCAAGACTTGCTCACTACTCAACCAACAAAAGCAACAGATCCTATGCCACCACGGTGAGTTTGCATTCCATTTTGGATATAGCTAATTGTTTTTTTCATCAAATGGAGCTCTATACCCTAGATGGCTTTGCTCCTAATTGTGACTCTCATACATTAATTATTGCTTCATTACATTTTCTATCTGAGAATTCGGTCAGAAAGTTAACAAGTTCTCATCAACTTCATTACAAATTTTATTTTCCTCATGGTAGTGTAAAGGTCAATTTAACTCGAGCAAACATTTATCCACCACTTTATGGATTCAGAATTTAATATTTTACCACAAGTTTCCATCAAGCAAGTCCATTAGCTTCATCTAAAAACAAGGAGGAAATAATTTCAAATGCCTAATGTACTAAATAAAGCCTAAATTTTTGGCTAGATGACAAGAAATTAATCTCCAACTAATACTCTTTTAACCTTTGAAATTGTTTGGCTATATGGCAATAGAAATGATTTTTTAAAAGAATTCTGTGACCTCTATTTGCAGCCTTTCTATTAAAACGGATCCAAAGAGTGGGATTGAAATAAACAACCTAGCTGCCATCCAAGTGAATGACTTCAACCAAGCTTTGAGACTGTACAGATTAGGGTGCCGGTTCAGAACAACTGCCTCTACAAATTCAAACACAACTTCTAGCAGATCCCACAGGTAACTACTTTTCCTTTTTAGAATTTGTATGAAACATTGATGTAATCAAGAAGATGAACTTAGACCAACAGGGCCAGAGAGCAAAGCTTGAGAACCTTATTAGGTGTTTTAAGAGTGGGATAACAAATTAAGTAACTGCTTAGTAAATGACAACATATTGTGTGTTCTAAGTTAGTTTTATTGTTCCTTCTAATAGCATGATCCGCATATCAATAACTTGCTTTGATGCTCCTGAGAGGCGACGGGAAACAAACAAAATTTGGTTAGTTGACCTTGGGGGAAGTGAGCGTGTGCTAAAGACAAAGGCATGGGGGAGAAGACTTGATGAAGGAAAAGCCATTAATTTGTCACTTTCTGCTCTTGGAGATGTCATTAATGCCCTTCAAAGGAAAAAGCGCCATGTACCTTACAGGTGAACAAGAAACTTAACTTGCAAATGCCCATCTAACATGAAGTTAACTACATAGATCCTTTATAGTCTGTCAGTTGTATTTAGGGTTAGATTCTACATTCAAGTAATTGAGAAACAAAACTAACCCTTTATTATTGTAATGCTAGTCATCAAAGTTAATTTATTGTATAATACAAAAAAATAAAATAAAAAAATGGACAACTCAGCGTAAGTCACTGCATGAGGTTGCAGCTATGAAATTAGCATGAGACTAGCATAATTTTTTTTTTTTTTTTTAGACAGTATATAATCCATCAACTTGAAATTCTGTGGTATAGTTCCTTGCTATCAGAGGCAGCCTAACTTCTTAAAAGAGTTTGTTCTGATTATTTTAACATTGCATTACTCTGTTTTGAGTACAAAAAAGGTGGTAGACTTTGAGATTTTGTTGACATGATTATAGTATAGCAATTCTAAGAATTGTTTTCATTAGATACAGGAAGGTTGGATTCTTACTAGGTTTCTACAGGCTTTATAGACTGAACCCTAACTAACTAGTTTTTATTTTTGACAGGAATAGCAAGTTGACGCGGGTTCTTAAAGATTCCCTTGGTAATTTTATTCTTTCGCCTTGGATTCTATATTATCTGTTGTATGTCAAATTATTAGTAAATTATAGTCATGAAGAGCAAATGACAGTCATTAACCTTACCATCTATTTAAAAAAAAAAAAAAAAATGAAGAAGAAGAAAGAATAAGAACTAGCTACTTCCAATTTAGTTGGCAAAAAGGCACTGGTCCATTCTTAGCTGTCAAGTGTCCCTCTTAGTGATTCTCTTTAGAAACAATTTACCGAAGCCATTCTTCTTCATGGTTTATATAAATTTTGGAAGTTAATCCAATTGAACATTGTATCAATGAATTTGCAGAGCTTGATGTTTAAATTAATAATTCTTATTTCTGTTAATGATTTGTGGCAACTGTAATACTTGTTTTTTATAATCTTCAGGTGAGGATTCAAAGACTCTGATGCTCGTCCATGTCAGCCCTAAAGAAGAAGATTTGTGTGAGACAATATGTTCTCTAAATTTTGCATCAAGGGCCAAAAGCATTCACCTAGGGCATGATGACTTAATTGTAAGTAGATCCAACATTGTGTTTCTTATATCATCTTTAAATTCTATAGATAACTTGGAAACTTTTATAAGTCTGAGGAAGTACAGATCAACCTGTTAATGATAGATGGTAGAGATATAGGGTAAGGTACATACATGCTTTGTGGAAAATTTGGGCCAGATTATTGTAGATTTGCAGGGTAAAGTTTGCATAGTTTATAAAGAACTTCAAAAACATGACGGCTTGCTATACTTTTGTATCATTCAGAACGTCCTAGTGACAAAAATAAAAATGCTTATTGATGCATTTATTCACATGCCTAATATGGTATTAAAGCAGATCATTTAGAGAAGATATATCCTGATACACAAACCTAGAAAGTAATAGAATGGACAACTGAATTGTAGACAAGCATTTTCACACACACACAAAAAAAAAAAAAACATTCAAACATAAATATTAATAGTAACTTTTCTAATCAATAGAGTTGTTAGTGATATCCTAAGAAAAGCCAATAATTTGAATTAGTTGCTAGAACTACCATCTCGATAGTCACATTAACTGAGGTTAGAAGTTCATCCATTTCATTTCAAATTAATCTTCTGCATTTCACATATGATCAGTGAGTTTAAACCACTAAAACCAGGAAATAAGAGACCAGAAAGAAGCTTCCATGAAGAATTTGCAGCAGAAGATGGAAAGGATTGAAGAAGAGCGCCTAAAAGTTAGAGGAGATATTGAGAAATTAAGTGAGGAATTAGAAAATCTTACAAGGCCAGCCCCTTCTTTCGAAGTGAAACCACAAGTTCCCCATTTATCTTCTGAGGAGCCACTATCTAACCTCAAAGTTAAGAAGGACCGGATTGGAGATGTCACAGCTCCTTTGTCACAATTGCCAGGATTTATGAGGTCAACGTTTTGCAGCAGAAGGAAATCTGGAAGAGATCTTCATACTGTAGAAGAAAAAGGTCAAGTCCTTGGGAGAAGGAGAAGGCGATCATCTCATCGGGCTGAGTCAGTAACTTTCCCTGTAAAAAATATTTCAGAGTACAACTCAGAGCATAGTATTTCCAAATCTAGCTGTTTGGCAGGTTTGAACATGAAAAGTAGTGCAGATTATGAAACGGATTACAGCATAGAAACAGTGCAAGGTGACATTAACATGGTTACATTCGGGAAACAAGAAAAATCACAAAGGACTTCAATTCGTCAAAGGGCTCCCCTCAGTTACCCAGAGCAATGTGGAAATCAAAAGAAAGAAAAAGATAACTCCACTAAATTTCCGACGATTGGTGATTGTCTTTTACATAAGAGTGAACCCTTAACTATTAGTTGTACTCAAAGAAGTAAACCAGTCCAAGCTGTTCCAATCGCAGAGGAGAAATGTGATGGAAGCGGACCAAACAGAACATGGATATCACATAATAGTAAGGTGCCTATATGTGAATTTAAAGTGGAAGCTTTTATCAGCCATAATACAACAAAGAAACAATTTGATGTCGAGGGAGTCGAAGTACCTGTAGCAGAAGTAATAACTGAAAAACCACAGACAATGTTGAAGGATTTATTTGCTGAGGAGTCAAGATCAAATTCCCCTTCTGCATCTCATACAACACAGACAACGATACTAACACAAGATTTTGTAGATGGCTTATTGCTAGAGGATAATGCATCTGGCACTCTTTCTTCACCTGATATGTGCAGTGGTAGACTTGATCAATATGAAGATGATGATGAAACTTACTTAATTCCTACAATGCAGGCGGTGAAATTTGACATGCCATGTCCAGATAGCATAATAAATTATAAAGAGTGCTCATTTTCTCCAACTGGCAAGGAAAATCATATCTTTGATTCAAAAAGAGATACTGGTATTTCTATCTCAATATCAGAACTGGAATCACACTGCCAAGAAGTGTCTACTGAAATAGGCATAAAAGATAAAGAAATGGAAGACTTTGATGACTCCTCTCCACTCTCATCAATAGGGACAACACCAAGATCGTTCAAATGGACATCTCAAAGAACTTTATTTATGGACCAAGGACATCAGAAGTGTCAAAACATGCCATATGCTACATTACAAGGAACTGCACAAAGCAATGGTGAGAATCTTAAGCTCTGAACCAAATAAGTATATACTTTTTTGACCAAGTTTTTTGTTTCTCAAGTAATAATTAACTTAAGTTTAATGGAGAATAAATGAAACTCTAAGAAACAGCTAACATTTTATAATCCCTCCAAGTTAAACTAGTTCATTCTTAACAATTTGCTTTTATTACACTTTTGGCAGGAACATTTCATGTCCTTAAACAGAGAATTCAGATAGTATTTGCCAGTGTTCTTTTAGGATTCGGATTCCTTGATCTAGGACTTGACCATGACTTCTTCCATGGTTTAATGCTTTGAAGCAGCTTTAGTGCAAAGCAGACTGAAGTTTAGAAATTTTGACTTGGTTGTATGTGGTGGCTGAGGTTGGCTTTGGGATGAAATTGAATGCTTACTTAGTCTTGGTTCTCTGCCTTCCCTCCACAATGTTAGGGAATAGGTTTAACACAGTAAAGCTGTTCCATGACTATGAACATTTGTGTAATTATATAGGAACAACAATATGATTTCCTTGCTTCATAAAAACACCTAATAAAGCTCTGTGCCAATCTATAAGTTAGATCTCTCAAATTCAAAAGAGACAAAAAATTGAGAATTATGAGGTTCTTGAGGTGTATCAAGTTGAAAGAACGGTTAGTTTGTCTATGTGTATATATACATGTATATATATTTGTGTATTTTGGCTACTGCTGTATATAGTAGTCTCAGCTATATTTTCCTGTATTGTAATTATCAATCCTCCGCTATATGAATGCATAATCATCAAATAAATTATTTCCAATTAACAGGATGTCTACTTTTGAACATAAAAAATTACATAATTACATGCTTCAAAGAAAATATTTTGAATGGACATGGATGGTCTTTTATTGCTTTCTCTTTAGACCTGCCAATCTATGTATGCTATAGATATTTTGTTATACATTTTGCATGTACATACCTGATGGTTGCTGGGTTGGCACAAGTATTCTTATGCACCAAAGTTCGGTGCACAAACAAAAAAATCTAGTAACTTCAGTACTAGATCTTATGATGGGAAAAACTCAATTCTCCCAAGAGGCTTTTATCAGGTCTTTAAATGCATCTGAATCTTAACGAAAGATACAGCAATATAATATGAATTACTATAGCTTTTACAAACATGGTACTGTGTTGTAGCTTGTCAGATGGTCGCACTGTAGTAATCATCAAAGCACTCAAAGCTGGTTCTCATTTGTATGTCTGTAAGTGTAATTACCCTATCCTTCATCAATTACAAGCAGGCGACAAGATTCATTTTGAAGATGCTGAGTAGTCTTCAACTGCCAATGCAACTTGCATAAAACTTGGTAAATCCTATCAAAATCAGGATGCGATGTGTCTCCTGCTATAAATTCATGAACTCTGCTATTCACTTCAATGTAACTCCATCCAGGCATCTTTTTAACACCTATGTTTCTCATTATGTTCCTTACCATTCTAGATTCACTCCACTTACCAAGAGAAGCATATATATTTGATAAGAGTGTATAATTTCCACTATTATGGGGCTCCAGCTTTATTAGATGCAGCAAAGCGCACTCTCCAAGTTCAGCATCACCATATATATTGGAAGCAGCAAGAAGAGAGCCCCATATAGCTGCGTTTGCGTCAAATGGCATCGTTTCAAGTAGCTCCCGTGCTTCTTGGAGGTAACCAGCACGGCTGAGTAGATCAATCATGCAACCATAGTGCTCAACCTTTGGTTCAATCCCATACCTTAATTTCATGTTTTCGAAAAATGAGCGACCCAATTCAACAAAGCCAACATGGCTACAAGCAGAAAGGATGGCAATGAAAGTAATCTCATTTGGTTTAGTTCCAGACATCTCCATTTGAGAGAACATGTCAAGGGCTTCTCTTCCAAGACCATGTAGAGCCAGTCCAGCAATCATCGTAGTCCATGTTATAACACTTTTATTCTTCATGTTCTTACATACATGTAAAGCCTTCTCCATGTTTCCAGACTTAGCATACATGTCTATGAGTGCGTTGTTAAGAGGAATCGTCTTGTACAATCCAAGTTCATCAATATAGTTATGAATGCACTCTCCCAACCCAATTGCACCCAAATGAGCACAAGCAGAAAGTGCAGCCAACAAAGCAATTTCATCAGGCTCAACATCTTCAAGCACCATCCTCTGAAAAATACTAATTGCTTCATTATTAAGGTCAATCTGAGCATACCCTGCAATCAAAATTGTCCAAGAAATTACATTTCTTTCAGTCATGCGCTCAAATAATCCTCTAGCATTCTTCAAATCACCAACCTTTACATAACCGGCAACCATTGCATTCCAAAGGGCAACGTGTCCGGCTCTCAGGCTCAATCCATCAAACAGTTTTCGAGCATCAGAGATGCATTTACAGGCACCATACGTTTGAACAAGGGCAGTGACAACATGAACATCAAAGTCCAACCCAGGTCCAATGGATTGACAATGAATCTGTCTTCCTATTTCAAGGGCTGATAACTTAACAACAGCCTTTAACACAAAAGGGAATGAGTAAGTGTCAGGTCTCAAGCCAGCTGCTTGAATTTTGTTAAAAAGAAAGATGGCACCGAAGGGAGAGGGAGAGTTAGAAAGAGCCTTGATGATTGTGTTATAAAGATAAACATTTGGTTGGGATTTGTGGGTGAAAACTAAATACGCATAATGGAAGAAACCCAGTGAAGAACATGAATCAATGAAGTGACTAAGGTGAAAATTATCCTGGTCAAAACCTCTAAAGATCATCAACCCATGAGTTTGTTGGATATGTTTGAGGTTTGAGCATTGCTTTAACAAGGTAACCAGGTACACACCACTTATACTGAAGTGACACTTGTGTTTGATTAAAGATAAAACTGATATTGATTTGCTTAAAGAGGATTGATGCCAAATCATCCTAAACTCACTTTAACTAGAGGGGACAATGTACTTATATTTCGAGTATTGAAAACATCAACGAAAGAGATGAATTAAAAAAGTTTGTTTTTTTCTCAATCCTGGGGTAATTAAAAAGCCTAAAATTTAGAGGGTATTGGTAAAATTTGGATACTAGTGGATGGTAGCTAGTATTATTAAAGCCAAGCTTATGAATAAGAAATTTTTTGTATGAAAAAGATTGAAAAAAGTAGACTTTAGCATGGTTTTAGCAATGATTTGTGAGTAAAAGTGGGCACAAAGCCCAAAGATGATACCTTGAAGAGATGGGTTACAGGGTTTGAGATAAAAGCAGGTAATTGCAATGAGTAAGAAGAAGATAAAAAAGTTAAAAAGGGAGAAAATTAGATGAGATTGTGACTTGGAAGAATGGACATTTTTATAGAAATCAAAGTCAATCATACAAGTTGAATAGGATTTTTACTGTAAAGTCTCCTCCTCTTAGCCAAACCACAGCCAAAGCCAAAGCCAAGACCTAGAAATAAAATAAAATAAAAATTATTTTTTGTTAATTAAAATATTGAAAAAATAATAATAATAATAAAAAGAGCATGAATATGGGAAGAGAAATACTAGAGTAGTAATAGTAATACTTGTACTGAGTCAATCCCCATTATCCTACTGCTTCCAGAATCCCTAATTCACACAACCACTTTCTTTCTTGACAACTATGCTGCTACAATAACACTAACCCACTTCAATTCAATTATTTCCCAGATCTACTTCATTCTCATTTCATTGTTTAGTGGGTAATTTTGGTTCTGGAGTGAGGGCAGCGAGTGAGTCAATTGTAAATTTGTTTGTATTTAATTGTTGTTAATAGGGAGAATTGAATGGAAGGGAATTCTGGCGGTGGTGGTGGAGGAGGAGGAAGTGGCGGTGGTGGTAGTGGTAGTGGCGGTGGTGGTGGTGGTGGTGGAGGAAATGACGTGGAGCTTGTGTGCAAAACATTGCAGGTTGAGCATAAGTTATTCTACTTCGATCTAAAGGAGAACCCACGTGGGCGGTACTTGAAAATTTCTGAAAAGACTTCGGCAACTCGTTCCACTATAATCGTTCCTTTCTCTGGCATTTCCTGGTTCCTTGATCTCTTTAATTACTATGTCTCTGATGAGCATGATCTCTTCAGTAAAGAGTTACAGCTTGACACCAAGGTAATATCATACTCTTCTTCCTTCTCCTTCTCTGTAAATTCCTGTATTTTTATTTATTTATTGTTTCGTTGCTTGTTTTCTACAGGTATTTTACTTTGACATTGGCGAAAACAGAAGGGGTCGCTTCTTGAAGGTATAACTTTTAGAAAGGTTTCTTCTATTTTAGCACAAGGAAATTGTTACTTTATGCCATGAATATCAAGTATTAATTACTTGCTAATTTTGCAATTTCTTTTTAACGACGTTATTCATATAATTACTACATGAACGTTAATTCTACAGTGAAACTTTCGTACATTTCTAGTGTTCTCTTCTATTTTGCTTGGATGCTCATGGGTAATTTTGAGTTCTCAGGAACCTTCAAAGGGCTTGATGTTAAACCCCTAACAATGTTCCTATGCCAATGGTAGGCTACACAACCATGTAATCTTAACCTTTGGCTCGTCCAGGAAAGCATGTGTTCTTTATATCCCCCAACCACTCATCATACATTTCACAATTGTCCATTTAGATAAATACCACATATTACACAGTTGCACTATAAAAGGGTGGGGGTTGATTTTCTATTCCTTTCAGGTGTGTTATTTCTCAGGCACCATTGAAAATAGCTTCCAAAGCTGTTAAACTCTTTCAGTCATAGCTTTACGTCTTTCACAAACTACTTTTAGATTTTTCATTTGTCATAATTACGTTTGGGACAATCTGGACTCTTAGAGGTGTCCTTAGTGGTGCTTCCTGCATGCGGATACAGAATTTTCCTTTTTTGTTTGAAGTAGTTTCTATAAGCCATTTTCATATCCCCATTTTTAAGGCCTTTACCTGCTTCTTCCGTGAGGTTTCCTGAAATTTGTCTTTATGGGTCAAATAGATTAAAATATTAGTACTTTTTTGTAATCATCAGAATTTTGATCATCAGACATTTGTTTTATCTAGAATTAATCTACTAGAATTGTTTGTAAATAATTGTAGATTTCTAAGTTTGTTTGACTTCATTGTTTGAAAATCAATCAAGGAAGCCATATATATTTTATTTTGGCTTGTGGGGAATTTATAATTGTCAATATATGAGATGATGCCATAACAGAACTGATTGGTCGTGAGGATATAAGAAGCTCAAATTTGAAGCAACGGATTGTGTTGAGATGCTTGATGAACTTATATGCACTCATGATCGTTGTTCCTATGATATTTGTTTGTCCACTGTTCTGGTTGGTAGACCTGTTCAGCATGGAATTAGAACCTTAGGAAACTAAATTTAATGAACTTTCCTAATAAATTAACTGACCCCCTTGTTAGGACTTTCTCGAGATGTTGAAGCAACCAGTCAAACCCAAACAATTAAGACATGTCTAGGGTCAATGATTTCAGCCAACATTAATTTATTGATATCCTTCCATGGTTCAGACTTTTATCTTATCACTATGGAGTTATGGAATTTGTAGATTTTTTTTTTTTAGAGATTTTGGTACTATCTATACTTGAGAACCAATTATAAGGGACAAATTGTGTCTATATTTATCAAAAGGAAATAACAAAATCCAAGTTTGAATTAAGCAAAAAGGCTTCTTCACTTTGATTGAACAAGCAAATTGCAGTTTTGACTGATTCTTTCCTCCATTGCCAGTCAACTATGTTTGAGAGATAACTGTTATATCCATGAAAGTTTTGGCTGGTTTTTGCTCATTCTCCTCCTTTGAGTGGAAGCCTAAAGCTTTGCAATTTCTTATGTTTTTTCATTAATGGATCTTTCTTTCAGTCTCCATTAACTCTCAAATCAATTAAGATTCTCTTCCTTGTTCCAAAAGTTCTTGTCATCTTTCCTGTGTCCATGTGCTTCTTCTTGAAACATTATCTTATTGAATCAAATTAAAGAATACAAATATTTGATACAAAGTTTTCTCCTCTATATGTTTGTTGAACCGTCATAAAAAGCCTTGCAAATACAAGCTACAACAGATGTGAGGGTTTTGAATTGTAATTTTTCTTTTCACACCATGTGAGTTATTCCCCTTTAACTCAAGCAAAAGCCTTGGCTATGTCACTTAACTGTGATGAGCAATAAAAAAAATCTTATATATATATAGAAAGAACTCTGATCAGCTATGTTAACAACTGATTCTCTGGATTATCTTTCTTCTCTTTCAACTGTGTAGTACATCCAAAAAACCTACTTGATCCGTCTCTCAGTTTCAGAGATTTGGTTGAAAGATTAAAGGCCCCTCTATTTCCCCAAATTCACTGCAAGAAAGTCAGGAGATGAATTTACCCATATCCACTGAAAATTTCTCAGTATAATTCAATGTTTCCTTGCCATCCTCCACTTTTAAGCTCCTTACCCTAAACCTTTCTTTAGTATTATAAATATTAGCAAGAGGTTGTTATAACAGGCTATGCATATTACGCTGCAAAAGCTTGATTGTAGCTGCAATTTTCGTCCTAGAAATTGTTTTCATTGACCCCCTTCATGGATTTGAAGTCATTTATGGCAATGTGTTATTTCCAAATGAATGTAATCACTAAAGCAACCACTTTGTTGAGAATCAGATTTTGGCCTTTGTGATACTTGAATAACTGATAGTTTGAAATCAACTACATATTTTTACTATATTTCTGGCCCATCTGTGACGGTCACTAGAATATTGATGATAATATGTATTAAGTTTGAATGGCCTTTTTGAAGATTTTTTTTTTTTTTTTTTTTTNATCTTAATTAATTAGTTTTAGGAAGAAAACTTATAAAATAAAGAATTGGAAGGAAGCCATGAGTTGGAATGATGATTAAGAAAACCTTGATTGAAACACGAGGTGACCGGGTCTTAATATCAAATTATATTATGCGAAGCCTATATGCTTACATTATTTGATTCTAAGCTGTCACCTTTTGCAGATAATCAAGCTGCCGCAGTTGATTTTTATATTCAATTCCCACAATCAATACATTAAATTATTTAATTAAACAATGTTCATACTGAATTAATTAAATTTTTAATAAAGTAAAGACACAATATTGTAATCGCATTTCCAAAGACTAGGCTTCGGTTTGTGCTTAGTGATTATGGAAGAGTCGACAACGATGATGATGACATCGTACTACCGAGTTTCCTTTCTAATTAATTTTAAGTTTTGTTAATTGTAATATTAATTTTAATTAATCACCTACTTTGAAATGCATAACATTAACTAAATTTATATGTATAATTTTGTCATATCTTAAGCATGACATGAAAATGATTTTGACATTAATGTGCTAAGAAATTAATGAATGCTGTTATCTTAAATGTTTTAAACAGTGTTTATCTCATCATAAAGATTGACTAATTAATGCAGTACTTAATTAAGTAAACTAATTGGGAGCAAGACAAAATTAATGAGCAATTGATGCTACAAGAGAGGGAGACGAATAAATAAAGGCATTCATTTGTTTGTGCCTCATGAGAGCATCATTATATACACGAAAATAAATATTTAATGGGTAATTTTATTCAGTTATATGACCGTCTGAAGACATTAACTGTTCACATGGCGAATTTAATAATCAAAATGAAAAGAAAAGAAAACATTATTAAACCATCTTAATGGGCACTGTCAGTGGAGTCATATTGGCATTATATAACTTGGAATATTTGGAATCCATTAATATCTTTGGATCTATATCAAATAATGAAATAGATGTCATTTTAGTGTATATATATTAATGTTCCATAAGATTTGTATATAGTCAATTCACGTGCAATAAATTCTCTGATTATTTAATGCACATGCACATATTAAGGATTATAATATATATAACTTCAAATTTTGATACAATATTTCAGTCTAATCTTTCCATTTATAAGACATAAAATATAATAAACAATTCTCTCTATTATGTTATCATAATATCACCTAAAACTTTCTCATATTAGAGATTATATATTAAATATTTTCTCGGGTTTGAACTTAAAATCATAATCCAAAATGGAGATTTATATATGAAGCGAGCTAGTATCGACAGAAAAAGAGCGAATTTTGAGAATGATGAAGAACACTTGAGATGGCATTTGCCTTGAGTTGGGCCATACAAAAAATATGATTAACATGCTTCAGCAATCAGACCTTTTGTTACCTTATTTTCTTTGTTTCTTAAAGACACAAAGGTAAAGATACTTTTGAACATTATTTATTTAGTTTCTATACTTTTCAACTTTATTTAGTTTTCTTCCTTATATATATATAATAAATAAAAAAATTGCTAAGTGGTGTTGTTTGTCTCCCACTTATCTCAAAAGAAGTCTTACTTCTTAATATTTTTAAATTACCTTAAAATAAATATGAATTACTAGCTAATTTCTCTCTATAATTACTTTTTACACACCCTCATCCATTGATAAATAAAGAAATATTCCATAATATGAAAACCATATTGATTAATCATTTACATGTCAATATGAATCGTGTGAAATCATTTTGTTGATATTTTTATCAATATTATGTTATGGTGACACATTTTGCTAAGTGGCATTTTCTCTTTGTTGTCTAGCCCATCAAGTTTATTTTGATTCATGATATACTTATGATCTAATTTTACACGTGTCACAGTTTCTTTATGTGGTTCTAAAAGGTTGTAAGACTTTATCTGTGGTCACCCAAGAAAGAGAAAAGATATGTTTGTGGTCTAACAAAAAGTTGAAATTCTTTTTGTCCTCCACGTGTTCAACTTTCAGATTTATGCCTTTTGCTCTTTCATTTCATATGTGTACACAATGGAGGTGTGCTTGCACACTTATGTCAGACATATGCATGCTGCATTTCATTTTACATGTTACTTCATATGTGCGCACACCTTTCTGCTGTGTTAACATCGCATGTCTGACTCATTTTTCTTAAGTTACGTTTTTATCCTTAACAACTAAATATTTTCCTTGCATATTTTGTGTTGTCATTTGAACCACTTACAAGTGTCTCAATATCCTTTAGTGATCCAGGGAAAATCAACATTTTTCCCTTTTGATTGTGGTCCTCAACGAAAGCTGAAAACATTTCTATTTTTGGATCAACACATGTCAGCCTTTGTCTACTGGCCAGAATTAGAGTGTACGAATTTGGGTTTATTTTCTCAATTCTTGCGACTTTGTTTGGCTAACCTTTATGTTTGTTTTT